GGACGAGGAATAGACAATAATCATTTACAGATTCTCTAACCTAGCATAATATGTATGAGTATATGAATATTCAATATCACGTCTATTAGCTATTACGAAATATATATACATGGATTATAATGCTGAGAGTCGCAAAACCGAAGTATGCACAACGATTTCAAATGTATATACTTTACAATTATTTACGCTTTTTTTTTTCTACATGATCTGATTGTCTTGAGAGACCATATCGGCGTCACCGGGCGAGTAGGTGAGCTCACGGGGCTCAAACCTGACGTTGTTGCTAACACGAATCCTAGCAAGAGCCGTGCTTCGCAGAATCTACCACCGGATCGGAAACGCGACCCACTGAGAAGATATTATTTACGCTGTGAATTAACAGAGTCGCTCCAATTTTACTCTCATTAGATTGACTATTTAAGTGCACTGCTATGAGTACTCGTGAGCATATGTAACGTACAAACTGTGTGATAGTTTTCGCTCGAGAGGCGAGCACGGATGCAGCCGAACTAGGAGTGGGTTAAGTTCTCGAATTCTGGTCTGAAATTTCCCGTAGTAATACAGTGTACTGAATCTCTGTTGTAATTTATGTGTGTTCATTCTACATAGCGGTACACGAATGGTTTTTAGTCGTTTTTATGTTTTATAGAAGAATATTTTAAAGTGTCCGTAAGTAACGTGAATGAATTTAAAAAATCACTTAATTTGTCGTATTTTAAATATATTGCACGTTAGAGACGGTTGACTATAGTAAATAAATATGCGTAATTCAAAGAACCGCTTCACGGCAGAAATAGCCAGGGCGGTGGTACCTACCCGTGCGGACTCACAAGAGGTCCTCCTACCACCAGTATTTACGCAAATTACAATTTTGCGGGTTTGATTTTTATTACATGATGTTATAACTTCACCGTGGAAGTCAATCGTGAACATTTGTTGAGTACGTATTTCATTAAAAAAAATAGGTACCCGCCTGCGGGATTCGAACACCGGTGCATCGCTACATACGAATGCACCGGACGTCTTATTCTTTAGGCCACGACGATTTTTTCAAATTCAGAAAGTGAGAACAGTGGATGGGACGATATGGAAGCAGCAACTCGTGAATCGAAGACACTGAAGTTGCTTCCAACCGTATAAACAATCATCATTGATATCCCTTTAAATAGTTGACTCATTGGCTGCAGTATCAAGTTCTCCTATAAAACTTTTGACTCGCCGAAATCAGGTCTAAATCAGTCATTTTCTTTTGAGGAATCCACAGAGAGAGAAAAAAACTCTCAATGCATCAAAGTCGAATCATCGATCACGGAGAGAAAGGAAAACGTTAACTTAATGAATAGAAATTCGGATCTGCATCAAACGATCACCAGATTGCCACAATCAATTTTCATTTACCGCGAAAAAACCGGTACCAAAGGGCCCAGATGGCGAACCATTTTTAATAGTAAGAACGCCAGTCACAGACAGACGAATCTACTACGTAATTAATGACTTTTTTTTACCAATAAAGGAAGCGGAAGGGACGAAACAAAACATCGAGCTCTGGTGTCGAACGAAAGGAGAATTTATCATGTAGACGACGGTCGTCGCCAATGTCCATTTGGATAATGCGCGGCGCGATTAAAAATATAAAAATACACCCCCACCGCCCACCCGGTGGGGGATTTGACGGAGGACGCCGCTCTGAGGACACAAAAGGATTATAAATGAGAAGGAATTTTAGATAATATTTGTACGTTGGATGTGGATTGTAATGTCGGCGCGGATCGAGCGGACCCCTCGCGCGCCGGTCGCCTTCACCGCTCCGGACCTAATGAGTGTTTGTATCAATTTGTTAGTATTGTATTTGAATATTTTCGTTCGTTCGTTACGATTTTAATCCCTTGCGGTCGGCGCGGTCCGGATCGATGCTTTTTGTTTAATATTCTCCGGTTTTTATTGTTGAGTCCCTTTGATCGTACGCTCGTGTGGCTGATTGAAGGCGTTTGAGGACGCTTCGACCATGTATATTCCCAATACGTGATTCGTTTTAAAACGGAACGTGTTTTGTTAAATTAGTGCGCAGATATGGCGGTACGTTTAATTAATTCCGAAGCCACTTTCACGGAGACGCGATAAAAAATATCAGATAATTAAAAAGGCCGCGTTCCGTTTCTCTACAAACAATTTCACGTATAGGCAAGGCGTACGTAGCAAGGGTCAGACGGACATGGAAAAATATTCATTTTCATAATTAATACATACATTTAAATATATATATGTTTTGTTTCTCCTTGTTTTTTAAAAACACTCGCGTTATGAATACGAAAGAGCGAGGCGGCGACACCCAGTGTTTTCAATTCATTATCTCGAAAACAAAAATGTTTCATTAGACCCGGAGATTTCCTTTTTAAATTTAATTATTCATATTTAAATTAAACAAAATATAATAGAGGTCGGACGCGTTTTGAAAAAAAAAAAAAAAGGGAAAGGAGGCGGAGGCTTTATCGTATCATATTTTATTAAAACGAATTCATAATACCGCGCCGATTCGACTAAATCCCAGCTCTATGTTCCCTGTATCGTTCCCGTGGAAATATTTATGAATGCCAAGCAGAAAAATCCACAATAATATTTCAGGGTGGACGCCGGTCCTTGGCTCGGCCTGATCTATTTAAAAAAGAGGCGCCCGGAAGGACAAAAGGGCTTGTGGTGCTCGTAAAAAAACTGGACACGTTCGGAGACCAACGGCGGTCGAGGCCTTTTGTCCGATTCTTAAATATATTTCTTTTTTTTTTTTTATTCCTGAACCGGATCAGATCCTTTTGCGGCGTTTTTTATCGGTTTTTGTTTCCGGAATACCTCGTATATTTAATAACGTTACGTTTCAGTCGCTACGGTTTGTTCGCGTGTGTGCGTGTGTGTTGTTTGTGTGTGCGTGCCCTTTTTCTTTTTAGGTTTTTGGGTTTAAGTGATTAATCGTTGCATTTGTAAAAGGTTTGGGCTCTTTAAGTCTTTGTTTCGTTTTTTATGGCCCATCATGAAACGCTGATGGTGTCTCTTGGTACAAAGAGATCTTCCATGGAGCCAGTGCGTGCTGGGAAACCGTCTGCGTTCATCTTCATATCGAGAACTACTGAATTTTTAATGTAGTTACCTTTATTATGGTTTCTATTGCAACCTGTTGGCTATAGTGAAAAGTTTTTTCTTTTGCTATAAAATTGGCAGAAAAATCAAATAGTGATGTGACAATTTCTACTGCATTTTTCTTATGGCTAGCCACATTCTACTCCATTTTGCATGCAATTACTTCAAAACAGATGAGCAGTACCTAGTTACATATGTAGTGCATAAAAAACACCACTTTGAAATATGGAGGATAGTGCAATTGATTCATTTCATTCATTCTAATATTCTTCATGAATGAGAAAACATAATCATAAAACAATTTATATTGAGTTTCTCAAGAACACAAAGAAACAAAATCATATTTCTTCGTTGAATGTTTAAATAACGACACGCGAAAAGCCGTCCAATTATGATCAATAGGTCGTATTTAGAACAGTGCAGCCGGGATTCCGTCTCGCTACACGTCCAATTTGCATCCCCTAATCGGATTGTCCGATGTGTAACGGATCGAGTTTACATCGCTGCACGATGGCTACACGCTCTGCGCTTAATCAAAAATAAAAACGAAAAAGAACCAGTGCGAAATGCCAAGGTATTATACGGATCCTCCTGATCCATTAACAGTGCTTTTAGGTGCCACAAGCACCGGTCACCGTCCTCGTCGAACTCGTCGGATCTTCTCAGTGGGTCGCGTTTCCGATCGGGGGGTAGATTCTGCGAAGCACTGCTCTTGCTAGGGCCAATGTTAGCAAAACTTCTGGTTTCAGCCCCATGAGCTCACCTACATGTTAAGGTGAAGCTGAAATAGCCTCTCCAGGCTATCATCATAGGTAGGGGAAAAAAGGTATTATCATCATCATTCTCCTGCCCTTCTCCCAGTCACCTGGGTCGGCGCAACATGTTTTCTCCTTCCATACTCCTCTATCATATACCATTTCTTCGCTCACTCCTCTCTTACACATATCGTCTTTCACGCAATTCATCCATTTCTTCTTAGGTCTACCTCTTCCTATTATGGCTCTTTACGTTAATACCACTTGATAATTTTCCTACATGTCTTGAACTCTTTGACTGCCTTGCAGGTAACCTGTGCCTTACTTAGCGCACTGAAGTAATTATGTCGATTTCTGTTACTAAATATCTAGTCGACACTGGAAAAGACGATGATACTGAGAATGAATCTATTTGTAAGAGAGTTAAAAGCTAAAACATATATTAAAAACAAAAGAAGGCAAAGCTAGGCAATCCGGGCGCTTAGTAATAGAAATCGATATAATTACTTTAGCGCGCCGCGTAGGGCACCGATGACCTACGTGGCAATCATAAAATATGAGTATATATCATTAGTTATTCTGTTTTGTTTGGTGGAAAATCCTTACGAAAAGAGTAAAGGTATGATAATTAGGAGTACTACTTACATATATATTAAAATATTTATATTGGTTGAAATAACCGGAAGACCTTGCATGATTCCCACAAGGTGGACAGACCTGTCGAAGGTCGCGGGAACCTGCTAGTAGCAGGTAGCGCAGAACCTGTGGTTGTAACGAGCCGGTAACGGTAGTGTATATATAGTGACCAGGTTTGACGGGTTGATATAAAAGGTAGATTCAAAGCGACATGGCTGTACCCATGGCGTTGCTGACGTCCACATCACACATTCTTCACAACAAACACCAAACTCACTATTCCATATCGTTTATAGATTTGTATATGTAGGTGATAGTTTCTATGGTAGACAAATTAAATACGCTATTTAGAAAACAGAAGATTTTTATACATCAAAAGATCTCCAAATCGTATGATTCTACCTTCAAGTCATCCTTAACTTACCACAGCATAAAGCTTGTCAAGCCACATTAGACTGTCATTGATATTGTCCATTCCAGGAGCTATAGTCTGGACGAGAAATTCCTGTACACGACTGGCGAGATTCGCAGGGTCCACTGGCATCCGATATCTCTATCACACGTACTGGTCTTAGTCTCCAATAATGCGATCAGGTAATTTTTTTAATTATTTTACACGCTTAAGTAAGGCTTGTAACGCTACATCTTCTCCTAATATAAGCTGGTTGAAAAAGCCTGTCGGCCTGACTTCCAGGCTACGTTTAGAAGGCCAATATTGAAAAACAATATCAGGGTGAATCATTAGTAATATAGACTGAATCGACCAGCAATAAGTCGTTGATCAAGATGGCGCCAAGGTATATTTTAATCAATAACCCTTTTAAGATCTCAAAGTTTCACATATAAGAGGTATAATTAGAAATTACCGAATGCCTTCTTAATATTTTTATAAAATGTACAAAATCTCCCGATCGAACTTTCGGGAAATTATTGGGGCTAACCTCAAAAATGAAAGAGAAGACCCAATAACTGAAAAACTCAAATGATTCCTTTCAGACTGTACAATGTAGCCTTGAAAACCGGTCCGAAGCTGGTGAAGACATACTCTATTGGTCCGAAACCGACCAGCCTCCTCGCCGGCAAGACGATTCTGGACAGTCTCGGAGACACTGCAGTGGATTTCACGCCGACGCCTGACGCGGAGCACATCCTGATCCTGAGGGGCGATGGAGAAATTTACATGATGGACTGTGATCTGACTAATAAAAGGTAATCAATTGATGATCAAAAACCTTATGAACGATGCGAACGTTATAATTCGAAACTACTGTTTTTATATTTGAAAGAGTTGTTTATATTGTTAGCGCGATTCAGGCTTTTGAGAAGTCTTTTCAATAGGCATACCGTTTAATACGTATTATAACCAAATACAAAGATATGTCTGAAGGTACATATCACGTGAATTCTTCATCCAGAGAATCTAGTATGAAGGTATTGACCGTAAGTAGGAGTACGTTAGTGGAACAGGATGAGGATTTTTTTTATTGCATAGGTGGGTGGACGAGCTCACAGCCCACCTGATGTTAAGTAGGGAGCCCATAGACATCTACGACGTAAATGCGCCACCCACCTTGAGATATAAATTCTAAGGTCCCAGTATAGTTACAACGGCTACCCCGCCCTTCAAACCGAAATGCATTACTGCTTCACCGCAAAAATAGGCAGGGTGGTGGTACCCACCCGTGCGGACTCGCAAGAGGTCCTGCCACCAGTAATTACGCAAATTATAATTTTGCGGGTTTGATTTTTATTACACGATGTTATTGCTTCACCGTGAAAGTCAATCGTGAACATTTGTTGAGTACGTATTTGATTAGAAATATTGGTACCCGCCTGGGATTCTAACACCGGTGCATCGCTCCACACGAATGCACTGGACGTCTTATCCCTTAGGCCACGACGGCTCGAAATGCCCCCAAAAAGTGATGGCATTTAGAGATTTCTTATCAACCCTAAAAAGTCTACATCACAGAAGCTGATTACTTTTCCAGTCCACTCCAGCCGAAGCTCGTTGGACCCCTCGCCATATATCCCCCTGCGGACGACAATTACGGCTCGGACTCTTGCTGCATCCTGTGCATGGGGGGCAGCGACATCCCCCCCCTGGTCGTCATCGCGACTTCCTCGGCCGCTCTGTACCACTGCTTGCTGCTACCAAATGTGAGTATTGTGTACCCGGACTACACTACATTAACCAAATGTCGTCTATGTCAATTTTATAAAAGTACATCTACCCTAAAATAAATAATAGCTTAAAAAAACTAACAAAATACGCTTTTATAGAAAATCCAACTAAATAATAGAAAATGAATTTCAATAAATTTGAATTAAAAATAGTGTAAGAAAAAATGATTTGATTATAAAGAAAAGCATAGGATTTTTAATTCAAAATTTTAATTTACTATTTTTCTATATAATTCTATATTTTTCTATTTATAATTCACTATTTTATTAGTTTTTTATTTATTTTTCATTTTTTAGTTGAATTCCAATTTTTTCAATTTTTTTTTAATATTAAATTGTCATCGGTCCTTAATATACTATAATAAGTATACCAAATTTCGAGTTAATCCAAGGTTTTCAAGGTGGTCAAAATCATGTTCAAAGATTTCGTTACAAACATACATACGTCTGAAGCTAATAAAAACGAAACTAATGACTCGCGTCATACGAAACCGTGAGGCCATTGACCCGCGTCGCAGCCGACTTTGGTTGTGCTACACTGCGTGCAGTAAAAAAAAAACTTTGAAATTTTTGTAATTGTCGGCAATCGTCATCTCTGATCGGAAACTGTTCAATCAGAGCCCTGCGATACTTTAAGACAAACATTTTTTGGTATGGAAATTAGCGACATCTTGTAGCGGATACCCCTAAACGTATGTTATTAAAGTTAAGGCATTTCATTATTGTTTAACTAAACACAGAAAATAAAAAATAAAAATACCATACAAGTGTTTATTTGTTATAGACAAATTGATTAAATTTTCTCGAATTTGTGGTTTCTTTAAATTTACAAAATCCTTTGTTCAAAATAAAATATAGGATAGGTAATATGTTACTGCCATCTACAGGATCAATGAGGAACTAATCGAAACGAAGCCATCTAGTGGCCGACGCCCGTAAACATTTTTGTTGAGTGCTTGAGTTGCTTATCTATAATTATTTTTTGTGTGTTTTCTATGATGTCAATTGCTTTAGTACTGGAAACAATCCATTTTTTTTCCGTTTTTTTTTATTGCCCTTGTAGACAAACGAGCATACGGCCCACCTGATGGTGAGTGGTTACCGTCGCCCATGGACTTCAGCAATGCCAGGGGCAGAGCCAAGCCGCTGCCTACCGCAAATCTATATATCTATGACGTCAATTGCTTTGTGCTGGGAACAATCAATTTTTTTTCTTTTTAAATGTAAGGTTGGTGTTGTTTACTTTCAGAGCGAGAAAGAAGAGAGCGACAGAGACGGCTACGCTCTGTACGTGGTGGAGACCGTGGAGTTGGACGTGGTACCGGAGCCCGACGCGGAGCCCTACCCCGTGCAGCTGATCAAGGTACCAGCACTACTATATAGCTCATTAGATGGTAAGTCGCCGAAGTTCGTGGACATCACAACGTAAAGGCGACTTCTCAGTTTAAGACAGTGGTAGGACCTCTTGTGAGTCCGCGCGGGTAGGTACCACCACCCTGCCTATTTCTGCCGTGAAGCAGTAATGCGTTTCAGTTGAAGAGCGGGGCAGCCGTCGTAACTATACTGAGACCTTAGAACTTATCTCTCAAGGTGGGTGGCGCGTTTACGTTATATATATATCAATGAGCTCCAGTAACCATTTAACACCAGGTGGGCTGTGAGCTCGTCCACCCACCTAAGCAATAAAAAATAACAAAGACAATAATTAGAGATTTCGGTAGGCAGCGGCTTGGTTCTGCCCCTGGCATTGCTGAAGTCCATGGGCGACGATAACCACTCACCATCAGGTGGGTCGTGTGCTCTTCTGCCTACAAGGGAAATAAAAAAAGATCGAAAATAAAAATTATCTTGAAACTTGCACCAGTATTCTGTCTATATCTGCTGCAAAACAGTGAAAGTTCTAATATCCACCTATTATATCAAAGGGACCGTGAACTCATTCATAAGTTGAGAAGAAAATATTGACTACTCTGTCTACTCTTATTAGTTTATTATTAGTAAACTTGAAACTAATGAACTTTTTTTTTAATAACAAAACTAAATAAGAAAATGTGAACACGAAACGAATTTAAACTCTATGTTGTGCGAGATACGGTCGAATTTCGTCCGCTCGACTCGAATAGAAGTCGTCGTGGCCCAAAGGATAAAACTTCCGGTGCATTCGTATCTAGCGATGCACCGGTGTTGGAATCCCGCAGGCGGGTACTAATTTTTCTAAGGAAATACGTATTTCACAAATGTTCACGATTAACTTCCAAGGTGAAAAATAAATAAATAAAGATTGTGACTTTATAATGAGGTAGTGAGTGTTGCGTTGCAGTGCACGGACGACACGTACGCGTGCGTGCACGCGGCGGGCGCGCACACCGTCGCGCTGCCCGTGCTCGCCGCGCTGCGACACTACGCGCGTGCACCCGACGGTAACCACCCGCCGCTCGGTCGGCTGTAGGGACACACCACACTCACTGTCCACTCGCCGCTCTGTCGGCTGTAGGGACACACCACACTCACTGTCCACTCGCCGCTCTGTCGGCTGTAGGGACACACCACACTCACTGTCCACTCGCCGCTCTGTCGGCTGTAGGGACACACCACACTCACTGTCCACTCGCCGCTCTGTCGGCTGTAGGGACACACCACACTCACTGTCCACTCGCCGCTCTGTCGGCTGTAGGGACACACCACACTCACTGTCCACTCGCCGCTCTGTCGGCTGTAGGGACACACCACACTCACTGTCCACTCGCCGCTCTGTCGGCTGTAGGGACACACCACACTCACTGTCCACTCGCCGCTCTGTCGGCTGTAGAGACACACCACACTCACTGTCCACTCGCCGCTCTGTCGGCTGTAGCGACACACCACACTCACTGTCCACTCGCCGCTCTGTCGGCTGTAGGGCCACACCACACTCTACTGCAACTCCCCAAGCTCGCTGAGTTTCTCGCCGGATCTTCTCAGCGGGTCGCAATTACGATCCGGTAGTAGATTCATTCTCGAAGCAGCTGCTCTTGAGTTGTTAGGTCTCCTTCGGAGGCGCTCGGGCAGCTGTTAGCAAATCCCACCCCTCCTGGCTGAGTCTTTGCTCGCCCACCTGTTCTCGTGAAACTAGAAAGGCCTTCAACTCACTGGCCGCACTTTTTATTTAGCTTTTGGCGCCGGCACGGTTTGTGCATTAGCCAGCGTCAAGTAATAACATTTTTATAATTTACCGTTTTAATTATTTACAGCCTAAGAATAATAAAAAACGAAGGAAGCTTAATCAATTGGCATTAAATTAAATTAAATGAGATGAGATGACATGATATGAGATGAAATAATAATATAATTTCAGTAAAATGAAGGTCATTTACTGAGATTTTTTCAGTGGACTTCTTTAAGGGACCCGAGAAGCTAGGTTTGGTTAGTTTCATTTTCCCACATTTGTGCGCTTTCACAAATATTAAACAATTAACAAACCACCATTAAAACCCGAAAAAACACTAAATAGACAAAATAAAACAAATCACACAACTTCACTCGTCGCGTTCCCGCCAAAAAGTCCACCCACACTTGTCGGCAGCGGAGGGGGAGGCGGCGGCGCTGTGCGTGACGTCATCGCGCGCCGCGCACGTGCTGCGTGGGGGGCTGCGGGGCGCCCGCCCGGCCCGCCGCGCCATGCCCGTGCTACTGCTACTGTGCCGAGACGGCTTGCTGCTCTCCCGGTACGTCATATCAATAGACATCACATGAACTTTTTACTGGTAATAGGACGTTTTGTGAGTCCGCACGGGTAGGTACCACCATCCTGCCTATTTCTGCCGTGAAGCAGTAATGCGTTTCGGTTGAAGAGCGGAGCAACCGTCGTAACTATACTGAGACCTTAGAACTTATATCTCACGGTGGGTGGTGCATTTACGTTGTGGATGTCTATGGGCTCCAGTAACCACTTAACATCAGGTGGGCTGAGAGCTCGTCCATCTAATCAATAAAAAAAAGAAAAAAAACATTCCATTTATCATGAGTAGAGGTCGGAGGTCGGAGTAGGTAGATTGATTTAAGGTCGTTGACTTCAAACGTAGAGGATAATATGGATATGCCTCCAAAATACCGGAACTTCATATTTATTATGATATTTGTTCCGGAATTTTGAAATTAGCATGTATCTGTATTTAAGGTGAAAAACGTATTAATAATATTCATCTACGCTACTCAGTGCTAGCTAACGGTGAAAGAAATCAGTATTTTATTTTATACAAAAACGCCTTGGAATAATTACACCGTATTTTGTCCCTTTCTGTTGAATTAGAAATGACGCTTGTCAGTATGAGATAAAACTTAGGCCTATTTGTTACTTTATCTCATAAATATAGAAATTGTATCCGATGAGAATTAAAAATATTTTTTTTTTTCAATATAAAATGGCATGTCCATATTACAATATCTTCACGCAACTATATAAAATCAGTCTACCTACTCCGACCACTGATCATGACGCATAAGATCGAAATGTACGTGACATCGGTACAAATTCAACTTTGACTGCAGACTTTTTTTATTGCTTATACAGGGTGGTCGAGCTCACATGATGTTAAGGAGCCCATAGACATCTACAACGTAAATGCGCCACCCACCTTGAGATGTAAATTCTAAAGTCTCAAGTATAGTTACAACGGCTGCGCGCCACCCTTCGAACCGGAACGCATTACTGCTTCACGGCAGAAACAGGCAGGGTGATGGTACCTACCCGCGCGGCCTCACAAGTGATCCTACTACCAGTAAACTTGCCCGGGGCCACTTACCTTCCGACGGGCGATGAGTCTCTCCTACTAATAGTGACTCCGTTCTCCCACACCAGCCCCCTGGCACCGCTGTGCTCGGACGACGAGCTGTATAAGGAGATGCAGCTGAAGAACCCCGCCCTAGAGCTGGATGAAATCAACGCCATTTTAAAAGAGGTCAGCCATTTTGTTTGTCATTTTCCAACTCCCCTCTCATTAACTTGAGTCGTCACTCCGAGGACTGAAGCGAGAGTTGCCCCTGAACCGATCCGCAATGCGTTAAATCGGTCTAGCAACAAGCTACCCCTCTTTACGAACAACTGTTCAACCTGTCCTATTTTCTGCCGTACTTATCTGCTATCTACCAAAACGACTTTTTGGCGGGAACGCAAGGAGTGAAGTTTTGTGATTTGTTTTATTTTGTTTATTTAGTGTTTCTTCAGGTCTAAATGTGTAATAACGGTGGTTTATTAACTGTTTAATATCTGTGAAAGTGCACAAATGTGGGAAAATGAAACAAAGCCGCTGATCGTAACTTCTCGGGATCCTCCAAAAAGTCCACTGAAAAAATCTCAGTAAATGACCACCAATTTACTGAGATTATATTTCATCCCATATCATTACATTTAATTTCATCCGAGTTGATTATCGTCTCAAATAAATCATGTTCATTTGATTTCATTTCATATTATAATTTTTCATAAAAACTGAACATGACTTAAAGGTATTAGTTACCAGGTCATAAAATCCCTTTAAAAAAATCATCTACCACAACAACTATACTATAAAATGAGATTATATCTTGTTGTGTCAATGAATAGAATCGGAATTCGCTGGTCCGGTAGTGGAGTGTATTTATACTTAGAAAGCTTTGTACCCCCGCAGAGACAGAAGGTGTCGTTCACGGCCATCATACAGGAAATCCTCGCCCGGGAGGCGTCGCAGCCCCTGCTGCATCTGGACCGCCGCGCCGAGCCCGGGCCCCGGGACTGTCTCGAGGTACGCGCTTGTGACGTCACTTGGGGCTAAATAACCTAACCACAGATCTGGCGAACGTGTGTGACGTCACTTGGGGCTAAACTCAATAATGAGCTAACCACAGATCAAGCGATGTAACCTTTATAGATTAGACACAGTTTTATGACATTTTGAGTTGTGATTAGAGTTTACCTTGACTTAAAAAAAACTGTTCAATATATTACATTACTTTATTATTTTAAAATTATATTACACAATTTTTGCTCTCTACAAACAAAATCATGATTGAATAATGGCTTCAATTTAATGAATTTTTAAACAATTAATTCAACTAAATCCGTAAGGGTATACGTAACTATATTTGAGATCATAGAACTCATATCTTAGGGTGGGTGGCGCATTTACGTTGTGGATGTCTATGGGCTAAAGTAACCACTTAACACCCGGTGGGCTGTGAACTCGTCCACCCATCTAAGCAATAAAAAAAAGTTGATATTTCGACCTCAAAGTCTCAATGTGGATGGTGCCGGCGCAATCTGAGACATGTCAGTACAGTACAGTGACGTCACCGTGTACTGGCAGCTGGTGACGCAGGCGACGCTGGCGCTGCGCGGCGAGTACGTGCGCCGCCAGCAGCGCGCCGCCGCCGCGCTCGCCCGCAAGCTGCACGCGCTGGGCGCCCTCGCGCGCCAGTACCGGGACTGGGCCGCCGACCTGCAGGTACACTCCCCCCCTCGCCCCGTCCCGTGCTCGCAGCCACTCACTACAGAATATTTTGGAGAGAATCGGAACGCTTTCCAATTCCAACACAAATTTTCAGTTAGTTAGTCAGTCTTCTTAGGGCAATGCCAATAAAATTGAGATTAAACGGTTCCGGAGACTAAAATTTTTAAAATGAAATTTTGGGGTGTAAATATGAAACTTTTGTGGGTAATAAATATACTTTATATATTGAAGTGAAACTTCTTTCGAATCGTTGTGATTTCAAACTCGATGAAACGAAAAAATAAGTCCATAGAGACGCAAACACATAAATGTATAGGATTCAGCCGGCGAGAAAATGAGATAGAACACATTATTTGGAAACACAAAGTTCACGTGATTGACCCACGTATTTTATTGTAGGCATCGTGTGCCGCGATTGGCTTGCCGTTGTGTATTACTAGATATTACATTGATAAATTGAATAAATAATGTTTGAATGAAATTTTTAGTTATTGGTTTTTTTCTTCAAAGTTATCATGGGGGCTATACCCCCCAATATTAAAGATGCTAAAAAGAAACGATTTCGTTTTTTTTTTTGTTCTTTATCATGGGTTAATATAAACTTACACAAAAATATTTTGGGGTAATAATTAAAAAAGTTCCCCGACCGCTGATCTAAGCAATAAAAAAATAAAAATTATAATATGTATCCCAACACACATTGCAGAACGAGTTGGAGCAGGCTCGGCAGCAGTCTGCTGCGCTCCGGGAGAAGTGCATAGTGGCGGAGACGCGCCAGGAGGATCTCAACAACAGGTAACCCCTCCCCGGGCAGCCTCTCTTGTATGGGCCTACTCCCCTTCTGCCCAATGCATGTAATTTCGGATCCTCCGTTCCATTAACGATGCTTTTAGGTACCTCAAGCATCGGTCACCGTTCTCGCCGAACCCGTCGCTTACGACGAAGGGCTCGACGAGCGAATTAACCCACAAACACAGCCCACTGAGTTTCTTGCCGGATCTTCTCAGTGGGTCGCGTTTCCGATGGTAGATTCTGCGAGGCACTGCTCTTACCAGGGTTAATGTTAGCAACACTCCGGTTTGAGCCCCGTGAGCTCACCTACACGTCAAGGTGAATCTGAAATTGCCTCTCAAGGCTATCAGCATAGGTAGGAAAAAAAAAACTCTCCTTCTTCCAACTGGAACCATGTCCTCAATGGGTGAAACTAAATAGAACCACTCGCATTTGGCGTGCTTTTTTTATTGCCCGTATAGGCATGCGGACAGACGACCCACTTGATGGTAAATAATCACCGTCGCCCATGGACTTCAGCAATGCTAGATGCAGAGTCAAGTCACAGCCTATAAGTACTCTCCGTAAGCCGCATTCGAACTTACACCAGTCGATAGACATCGATATGCAGAACAGCGAATGTGGAACCGCCGGAGTAGAGTTCATCCATACTACCTGGAGCCGCTGCGCTCATCCACAGTGCGCTTCCAGAGGTCTTTTTTGCCACGTACCATCCGGCTTTGGAATGAGCTCCCCTCCACGGTGTTTCCCGAGCGCTATGACATGTCCTTCTTCAAACGAGGCTTGTGGAGAGTATTAAGCGTTAGGCAGCGGCTTGGCTCTGCCCCTGGCATTGCTGAAGTCCATGGGCGACGGTAACCACTCACCACCAGATGGGCCGTGCGCTCGTCTGCCTACAAGGGCAATAAAAAAAAACATTACTATTTAATTAACTGGGATTACAACATTCCGTCTCGAGCAGCCGAGCGAGGCAGAGCTCCCTGTTATTATGGGAGCTCCCTGTTATACCTGGAATTCACTAGAAAAATGAGTCTTATTTAAGGCTTCGTCAAACAGAACGCGTACTTAACGCTGCGTTTTAGCCTCGCGCTCTTTTCATGTCACACAAATTGATTAGATGAGCCTAACACTTCTTGACGCAACGCAAAATTCGCCAAATCATAGTGCCTTTCGATAGCAGTGTGAAAATTTAAAAGTATTAAGATGTCGACTGATTCAGATGTGGCATTCTATGAGCATGGGTATTTTTGAATTTATTCTATAATTTTTTCGGGCATTATCCAGTATTTTAATGTACATTCACTCGGACGCTAAAATAAAATTTGTAAAAAATTACAACGTCTGACGTCAAAGCGTTGCGTACTGCTAGCGCTGGCGCTCTGTTTGACAGTACATTACCCTAGTAGTACAACACATCTCGGCGTCATAGCGCGCCGTCAGTTTAACTCTCCGACGCGCGCTAAGTACGCGTTCTGTTTGACGAAGCCTTTACTATTACAATATAATGACATCAAATAACAGAATGACGTCATCGTTTGTAGTAACCATGTGGCGCTAGTCTCTGACGCCATCAGTCCCTGACGTCTTTTTTTTATCGCGTGGGCGGGAGGAAATCCTCATGGATACCCAAGGGCCAGGGCCCATGGGCATGCCCGACTCTACTGAGAAAGTGTCTCAGTCACCTACGGACTAAAACCTTCCTCCTGGTTATCTGTCCCTTTTTATTATGGGACAACCTTTATCCCTGTGTGGCGGATAGCCATCACAGAACACAAGATATTTGACTGATACCTGAATCTCGCTTACGACATTTTCAAGATAAAGCGCATATACAGGGTTACAGGTTAAGTCGACCTATTCCCGTTAAGAGCGTGTAGCTTACATCATTTCTGACTGATTTGACTATGAAACACCCTATCCTAAATCTAACCGATCTGGAGATATTTCAATTTGATTGTTTTTTATAAAAAATACCCGATTTTCGGCTATCAGCTTAGATATTTTGAAATGCATAAGTCTTATTATTGTTATTACATGATTTTTACTTGTAAAATAAGATGCTGTATGACCCCAATAACCAATATTGTACGTAAAATGAATAAACAAGTCGTTTTATCGTCTAAAACTTATAAAAACTAATAAAAAATTAGAAAGATTATTTTTCTTTCAAGGATATCTTAAAAAAATACTATGGCGCCTGTTTGGCAGATGTGCTTAACAATATCTACGTTTCATCAGCTATCCAACGAGGTATAACAATCTAGGGTTTAAATAAAACATCATAGAAAATATTTAGTTGCGAGCCTCCAGGTAGCAGTTCTAACAGTCCCTCGCCAATTGTCCTTCAATGTTAATGCAGTGCGTGCGAGCGAGACAGCCTGAATGTGTGGATGGGCATTATTTCCAATCATTTGATTGGGCCTTACTTTCTCCCCGACAATTTAAATGAGGTATACTATGAACATTTCCTGCGAGGAGACCTAAATGACCTATTAGATGATTTGCCACTCAATCTGATTCAAGACGTGGTTTCAGCATGATGGCTGCCTTGTGCATTTCAGGAGAAGTGCCAGAGAATAGCTAGACACAAATTATCCAAACAAATGAATTGAACGAGGTGGGCTTATACCCTGGCCAGCCATAAGTCCGGACCTAACCCCCATGGATTTTTATGTGTAGGGGGACACATGAAGAGTCTCGTGTACAGTGAGCCCAACCCAATTTCATCAATTGAAGTATTGAGAGACAGGATTATTAATGCGGCGAATGAAATGAGAAGGAAATTAATTACTGGTGTAATAAAACTGGACTTCGTAAAATAATGCGAACATGAGTGCAAAACAGTCCCGGACATAATGGGCATGAAATTTAGACCTTAGGATGTTTTGTTGGAACTTGAAAGTTTAATAAATGTAGTATCTTGTACATACTTGTTTTATTTAGCCTCCCCTGTAGCCTATAAAACTAAGTGTTTTCGACAAATTTTTGATAAAACCTTAGATTGCTATACCTTGTTGGATAGCTGATGAAACGTAGATATTGTTAAGCACATCTGCCAAACAGGCGCCATAGTATTTTTTTAAGATATCCTTGAAAGAAAAATAATCTTTCTAATTTTTTATTAGTTTTTATAAGTTTTAGACGATAAAACGACTTGTTTATTCATTTTACGTACAATATTGGTTATTGGGGTCATACAGCATCTTATTTTACAAGTAAAAATTATGTAATAATAATAATAAGACTTATGCATTTCAAAATATCTAAGCTGATAGCCGAAAATCGGGTATTTTTTATAAAAAACCATTAAATTGAAATATCTCCAGATCGGTTAGATTTAGGATAGGGTGTTTCATAGTCAAATCAGTCAGAAATGATGTAAGCTACACGCTCTTAACGGGAATAGGTCGACTTAACCTGTAACCCTGTATACAAGTTCCGAACAACAACATTCGGACCGTCGGTTTACCGAGCAATATCACCCGCTCGGTGGAAGATCTTCCCTTTGTCGTATATCCCTCCAAACCTGTGTTAAGTTATGTGCTAAATTCCTGACGTCACCGTTCACTCAGATGCTCGGCGGTGTTGCGGCAGCTGCGGCAGAGCGCAGCAGTGTCGGAGGCGGAGGGCGCGCTGCTGGATGAGCTGCGGCAGCACGCGCGCACGCACCGCCGCGCGCTGCCCCGCCTGCACGCGCTGCGGGAGCGGGCACGCACGCACGCCGCGCAGGTACCTCCCCCCGACCCCCTCCCTCCCCGCTCGCACTGCGCACTGCGTCATCATCTCATTTACTGGTGGTAGGACCCCTTGTGAGCCCGCGCGGGTAGGTACCACCACCCTGCCTATTTCTGCTGTGAAGCAGCAATGCGTTTCGGTCTGAAGGGCGGGGCAGCCGTTGTAACTATACTTGAGACCTTAGAACTTATATCTCAAGGTGGGTGGCGCATTTACGTTATGGATGTCTATGGGCTACAGTAACCACTTAACAACCAGGTGGGCTATAAGCTCGTCCACCCACCTAAGCAATAAAAAAATATATATATTCCAGATGGAGAAATGGCGTACGGAGTACAAGAAGAAAGACATCGCGCTGGGCCGATCGCACAGCGAGACCATCTCCTCCGTCCTGCAGCAGCAGTAAGTGCCCCCTCCCTGCCCCCGCCCCCGCCCCCGCACACCACCAGTACACATCTCCCTGTCCACAGGACGGCGCAGATAGCGACGCTCATCGAGGAGACCAAGCTGCTGCGGGACCAGCTCAGCCTCGTGTAGCGGCCCCGCGGCGTGCCGGCAACAGACAACACTTTGCTGATGTCCGCGGTCAGACCAACACTACGAGTATACTCTACATGAAAATCAATTTTAAATATAACTGTATTCTGCCAATGTCTTTTCACACCATAAGAAGGTTGTGATTTGTTCATTAATTATTTGTAATCGAAAATAATTCGTGGTGTTAAGCGCGTAGGGATATGCGAGATATCGCCGAACAATCAAATTTCGACCCTAATGACTGAAGCCCCAAGGCTCACGTTCCTGTAACACGCCCTCTCATGTTCCATTATTGATGATTTGAAAAAATCAAAAACTATTATTATGAACGTGGCTGAAAGTCGTCTGACGAATAGTTGTGACACATACATCGCGCGCCGCGTCCATTGCATTGAGTGGATGTAGGGGATATAATACAATTTGTCAATTTTGAGAAAAAGGGCAACAAACTTTTGTTAACGTAAAATCGGGGGAATCGGGACACTTTAAATTCGACATTTATTTTTATGGGTTTTTTAGTTATATTAATAAAGCAGAGATCACAATAGTTCCGGTAGTTTAAATTTTCATTTATAATGCATTAAAATATAGTTTATTAAAGAATAATCATAAAAAGTTACAAAACCTCATTTGTCCCTATTCACCCAGGCGTCGGGGTGAATCGGATCGCTTTAATGGGGTTAATAGTGTTTTTCGCTAGGGCTGGCACTATGTAGTTGTTAGTTGTTAGATAGATACCAAGCGTTAGGTAATTAATTTTTTTAATATCATTAATGAGTTACAAAATTTGATGACTAAGTTAAACTGTTTAATATTCTTGAACACTAAATAAAAGTTATTTTTAGTTCAACAAAGTTAAATCTCTAATAACTCAACAAAAGTATTGTGTTATCCCAGATTTGTCGGTATTCCCCCCAATCTACTGTACTTGTACATAACTCTTTCATCACATGCAATTTCTAAAAATAGCCTTAAAACCCAGGGGTTTAAGGTCTAATATGACTTATTGGCACATAACACCTTCATTCAATGTAAAAACTTAAAAATCTTAAAAACGGTACTTAGCCCCTTCATCCACTCGTGTCTTCAATTGTATTAGTTTGTGTTCTTGTGATTTTAGTATTATCGAAACAATATAATTAAATATTTGTGATTGTGGCTTTCTGTTTGTTAAATAAAGTATTTTGATGAATATATGGATTTTAGTTTGACGCAGAATGAAGCAGGGTCCGTCGTCAACCCCTACAGTGCGGTGCACTTACCATCAGGCGACCGTGATTATCCGAACTAATGAAACGAGATGTGTCTTTTTAATTTTTATTGAGATTCCATATATTGAACATCGTCCCAATACATTCAGGTAAATAAAGAAAATCATTATTATCATATCGAGGATTGAAAGATTATTTGGTTTAATGGACATTTTTGCAACTTTACAGGAGAGGCATTTAAAGTTTAAAATTAATAAAAATGTCATATAATTACTTTTTTTAATGGAGTAAATTTAATTGAAGTTCAATTAAAGAAATGCCATATTATATAGTTTAAAATTCGGAAAAAATATCATAACAAAAAACTTGTAATTTTTTTTTTTTTTTTATTGCTTAGATGGCTGGACGAGCTCACAGCCCACCTGGTGTTAAGTGGTTACTGGAGTCCATAGACATCTACAACGTAAATGCGCCACCAATGCTCCATATTTAAATAGGGTAAACTTAATTAAAGTTCAAATAAAAATATAAAACTGTTGATGCTAATACCAAATAAAACGCACCTTTAATTATAAAGATAAATTGTCGCGTATTAAGCGAAAAACCAAATAAATTTTCACCCCTCTATAATGATAATTACAGTTTATACATTAACATTAGTCAACTAAAGTTAATAAAGTAGACTTACTGCGGGTTAGTTCTACTGTAGCTTCTTTTAGCTTCTGCGGTGAAAAAGTATAAAATTTCAGTAAATTAAAAACTAGTGAGCTATATTTTAAAACACTTGTTCAATTATATTTTTTTTATATTTACTACAGTCAAAGAGCGAACGAAATTAAAAAGATAAAAAAAAAACTAAAACACTAAAGATTACCGTCAATCTATAGTTAATTAAAAGTCGTAATATGTACTTTTTATTTTAAAACTAAAATAAAATTTCAAGAAATGTGAAAAATTCAATGACCACCTTTATTAAATAATTACAAAAATGAATATTATCCGGTCGAGTTAAAAAATATAATAGAATCTAAATCGACGCTTTTTATTTATTTCCTGCTCCATAGCAGACGAAGTCACGATCCAGTTGAGGCTGTTTTTTTTATTGCTTAGATGAGTGGACGAGCTCACAGCCCACCTGGTGTTAAGTGGTTACTGGAGCCCATAGACATCTACAACGTAAACGCGCCACCCACCTTGAGATATAAGTTCTAAGGCTCTAAGGTCCTAGTGGGTAGGCAGATAAAAAGGTTTTTTTTAAAGGTCGCATTTCTTGAAATATTTGTTACGATAAGTTAACGATATTGATATTGTCAAATTATATTTTGGTTTATCCGGTAATGCGTTAAAACTTTATAATAAATTCGGATTATTTTCCCCGGGAGGGCGTTAGTGGCACGCGGGTCGTGAGTGCTGTGAAGTAATATTTTAAGTCATTGATTGAGTCTTAAGTATGAGTCTTAAACGTCGGTGAGTGGTCCCCAGAACATCTTGGAGACTCTGGTCTCGTCTTCAGTGTGAAAGAACTCCTTGCCGAGCTGGACGAACTCCTTCAAGGACACCTTGCCATCCTGTCGAGGACAAACGTGTTGATTGAGTTAATTAAATTCAGTAAATTAGATTTGATTGGTTTTAAATCACAGGTTCCACAGGGTGTTGGAACATAGAGAACAAAATAAAGGTAAATCGCCGTCGTGATAAAACCTCATTCGAAAATATACCCTATTATCATAATAATTAAATATTAAAGTAGCAGAATTTACAATTTCATTGACGCCCGGATTAGCGCCCTTAAGGTATCGGATCCAATCAGAATTCCGACCTCATGTCTCGAAAGTCTAATAACCACTGATCGCCTTATGCTTATATAGGTGGAAGAGCTCACAGCCCACCTGGTGTTAAGTGGTTACTGGAGCCCATAGACATATACAACGTAAATGCCACCACCCACCTTGAGATTTGAGTTCAAACCGAAACGCATTACTGCTTCACGGCCGAAATAGGCGGGGCGGTGGTACCTACCCGTGCGGACTCACGTGAGGTCCTCCCACCAGTAAAATTAGAAAAAAAAACCCCTCAATAATGAATACGTACCCCGTTAACGTCGATGCCGGCGAAGGCGACGGCCGCGTGCTCGCTCGTCAGTCCGAGACATTCAAAGAACAACTTGAACTCACGGACCGATATGTAACCGGAGCGGTCTGCGTCGACGGCCTGCGGGCGACACGACAACTGGTCAACATTCGATCCTTAATTGGTACGATGCCTTAGCATAGCAGAGGTATCGCTGTTTAGGTCTTGTAACTGCAGCAATTAATCCGCTGCAGGCCTAAAGGGGGACGGTATGAGACCCAGAATAAAAATGGAGGCGTTGTGTAGAGGCCTGGGGACGATTTGTAATTTCATCTAGGATAACTCTTAAACACAGACCGAGCTCTCGCTATAGTAACTTTTAAGTAAGTGAAAAAAATAATTAATTCTTAAAGTGGGTAGGAGAGAAAATAAGTTTAGGAACCCCTGTTTTAGGACTTCGGTAATGCTTTACGGCAAAAATAGACAGGACGGTATCTATTGCGGAATATAAATATTCGAGTTCTGAACTACATTTGGGACGACAATCTACTGATAATACCCATTTGGTGAAAGACCTTTTGTATGCAGTAGGAAACAGATGCTATTGCGGTCAAAGGTGACCAAATGCCAGTTGGACACTTAGATCCTTACGACACAGCAACTCCGTACCTTGAACAGATAAGGCAGCCAGCGGTGAGCTTTCTTCTTGAGAGTCTTGTCGTTGAGGACGTGATGCATGTCCTCCAAGTATTGTTCCACCGTCACGAAATTGTACGGGTCTATGGTGCCCCATTGTTGCTCCCATGTCATCTGCATACAGAGATATTACAGGAATTTAAGACACGTCGAAACTCGAGTCGGGAAAATTGCCTAAGCTCAGGGCCGCGGCGCGCGTGTATGCGAATTGTGGCGCCAAGACAACAAGGGCGCCACCACCGAAATTATCTATGTTACACTTACACAACAACAAATTCTTTGTAGTGGAGTAACGATAAGTAAGCAGGTACAATAGGCACAACATATAACGTGTAAATAACAAAACTTATAATGCATTTGAATATGCAATTTCGAAAAGGGCACATGTCGCATATTTTGTCAAATACGTTTTTTCATATACATGTAGTTTTGAGGCTTACCTACACCCATTTTATAATAATTCCAGTAATTTTCAATTGCTAATTAACCCTAAAATATATCTCAAAAGTTAATCTTTTAAATTTTACACTGCTTTAGAAATAATCAGTTTTTTTTTGAACTTTTACATTTTCAGAGATGTGCCCTTTTCGAAATTGCATATTCATTTATAGTACAAACATCCCAAGATTTACGTCAAAACAATAAGTCGAAATTAACAAATAATTAAAAAATTACATTGAAAAATGAAGATTCGTAAAAATAGGAGGCGCTTCATGGGTTTCGCACACAGGCGCTGCCAGAGGTCGGCGGGGCCCTGCCTAAGCTAAGGAAACATCAATGTACCCGATTCCCCTTGCACTCTCTGACGTCCGATCTCCAGCCGAGATCAGAACCCAGTTAAAGTAGTGGGGTTTCCGCGAACGTCAATGAACCCAACCTATCATTGTTAATAACATTGTTAGTAGACGATCCGATTCCACTTGATAGGTTTCGTTGTTCATAAAAATCTTTTTGTCCTTATATATATATTTTTATTGCTAGATGGGTGGACGAGGTCACAGCCCACCTGGTGTTAAGTGGTTACTGGAGTCCATAGACATCTACGACATAAAATGCGCCACTCACCTTGAGATATAAGTTCTAAAGTCTCAAGTATAGTTACAACGGCTGCCCCAGCCTTCAAACCGAAACGCATTACTGCTTCACGGCAGCAATAGGCAGGACGGTGGTACCTACAAGCGCGGACTCACAAGAGGTCCTACCACCAGTAATTTCGCAAATTATAACTTTGCGGGTTTCATATGACGCAGGTGCGATGTACCACTCAATATGTGTACTCTCAATAGCTTGTCTTTACCACCGGACTGGAGTCAAACCTATGAGATTTCACTCGGGCCTGGGATTGGTTAAGCAAATTAAAGTAGACTACTATAATATTGTGAACGTCTCAAGAAATGATAGTAGCTGGTGATTACTGGCAAAGTGGAAGAACAATATCGCAGGGGCACAGCCATATGCATTGGTCTGACCTCATCTGCACCCTCGATTCCACCGTCCACGTTGCTCACCAAGTTACCAAAGGCAAGATGAGATCTCAGAACATGGTGAGGACGAAAATCATGGATGAAAGTGGTTACAACCCTCGGACATGAGATGAACAATTTTAAAATTTCATAAATTTTTATTCAACGTTCGGACAGACTATCGTGTGCGCCGGGTGGTCTCTGTCTACTCCGAAAGGATTCAAATATGAATTTAAAATATATATTATATTTGCCCTCTTTCTCTTCAATCGGTTTCTCATTGTTGAAGATCGTGACTCCGTTTCATTCCGTCAACTAGCTGTCTCCATCCATCCCGTTCTGTAGCTTGTTGGAGTACATCACTGACAGGTATTTTCAGTTCCTCCGCTATTTGGACCGACCATCGTTTGGGACCTCTACCCATAGGCATTTTTCCCTCGATTTTACCGGTCACTACAAGGCGTTCCAAATTGCTGGTATCCCTGCATGCAACATGACCAAAATACCGCAATATTCTTTGTAGGCAGCTTGTGGATAGACGTTGAGTATTTTCTATTTTTAACTGCTTGAGAATATTTGCCCTAAAATCTTGTAGTGTCTTCCCTCACCTTGATGATGTCGGTGAATTCCTTCGCCTGCTTCGCGTCGAGGTGGCCGAGAGACTTGAACCTTTCAGCGAACAGCAAGAAGTCGTTGTACGAGATCAGCCCGTCCTTGTCCACGTCTAAGATGTTGTGGACGGTACGCATCTTGCGGCGCCAGAACTCAGACTGCGAATCAATGGAAAGGAAACGCATGAATTATACGCGTCGTAGACTTGATTGACTGTTTTTTTTTTCCTACCTATTCTAGTAGCCTCGAGGGGGTGTTCTAGATTCACCGAACTATTAGGTGAGCTCGGGGGGCTCAAACCTGACGTTGTTGCTAACGCAAAATAGCAAGAGCCGTGCTTCGCAGAATATACCACCGGATCGGAAACGAGACCCACTGAGAATATCCGGCGAGAAACTCAGTGGACTGTGTCCGTGGGTTAATTTACTCGCCAAGCCCTTCGTCGCAAGCGACGGGTTCGACGAGGACGATGACCGGATGATTGACAGAAATTAAAAAAACCCATAAAGTAAGGTAAACATTCTCTACGATAGATTTAGTTTATTTCTATGGCCGTGTCATGGGAAAGTGCTCTAAGGGATTGCTTGAGATGGACCACTTAAATTCCTATCGCCAAGAGCAGATTTTATTTTTACGAATTTAAGCCATTTCCTTTATCGAATATGCAGTTCAAGATATCACTTCTATCATTTACGATACGGCTTTGAAAAGAACTGTTCTTCTCGTACATGTTAGAACATTGGGCATCCTGAGAGCTTGCTAGAGAAGGTACCATCATCTGCAATGTTTTCTACAGGGTTCCGGTTTGAGGGATGGGAATTTACAGTTTAACTGGGAATTTGCGTTGTTTCTCGAGATAGGTGGCGGTATCTATGCACTACGTAACATCTATAGGCTCCGGTACCAACTTATATCAGGTGGATCGTGAGCTCTGTTACTTATCCAGTCTAAAGCAAGTCAAAATGCCAATACGTCTACGTCAGTACTACTGAACTTGTACTTTTTATTTTACTGCGTTAATGGGTGCCTGAACTCCTGGCTCATATGACGGTATGTTATTACGGAAGCCCATAGACATGAGGTCAAGGTCTTAACAAAATTGTACTCTGAATAATTTCGAAATTTCTTGAAATCATTGTTAAATATCGGTTCAAGTTTTAATTTTGTTTTGTTCGTAAATAAATACCCCTTCAGCACTAGTGCATCGACATAGAACTAAACAATCTCAACTTTTTTTTTAGTGCTTAGATGGGTGGGCGAGCTCACTGCCCACCTGGTGTTAAGTGGTTACTGGAGCCCATAGACATCTACAACGTAAATGCGCCACCCACCTCGAGATATAAGTTCTAAGATCTCAGTATAGTTACAACGGCTGCCCCACCCTTCAGACTGAAACGCATTACTGCTTCACGGCAGAAATAGGCAGGGCGATATTACCTACCCGCGTGGACTCGCAAGAGGTCCTACCACCAGTTAAACTGTCCTACCTACTATTTCGTACGCTTCATTTTGTGACAACCCTTTTGAATAAATTATTATGAAAGTTTATCCCGAACTCACCCGGTCCAGCCCCTTACACTCGGTGTCAGAGTCGGAATCAGATTCCGAATCGGGCTGTTTCCTTCTGTCTATTTCCGGTCGGCCATGTTGTTTGCTGTAACAACGTCTTAATGAGCTGTGAGGCAACTCGGTGATCTCCCGCGATTCACGTTTGACGTGTCGCGGCCTGTCTTCCAGGTGACACACCGATCCGTTGCACGTTGGTTTCGTGTGAATTAACTGTAAAAAGAAAACCATGTTTTTGAGTTTACTATTTTTACAATTGATTGGAAATTTAATGTTTTTCAAATAAAACTATAAGTGCGATTTGAGAGTAAGCTCAGAATGATTTTTCTGACGGAAATTTTCTGACGAATATGGTTCGATCAAACAATGTTTTCACTGTAGGACACACACACATACTGCTATACCTTCCAGAACATCTGCTCATTGACTGCTGGTTGCAGATTCCATTAGCACAGTAATCAGGATGCGTTTAAGTACAAAAAAAAACAATAAATTTTAATACATTAATTACATTTCTAAAACCATATTTGTGGAGTTGGAACGTTTTCCTACGTTTGCCGCTAGGGGCGTTGTTCCAACTCCATACAAATTTGAGTTAACTTTTACGCTATCGAGAACGTTAACAAACTCGCACTAAGCACACAGATTAATTTCATTCGTCCAAATATATATGAAGATAATTCTAATTCTTAAAATGTTAGATACTTTCCATGTCTTCAAAATTCCATGTCTCATATTTTTAGGACGTTAAACTCATTCTCCTGCCCCCTGTAACTATTTAATTTAGCTGCTCTGCTCTGAACACTACTAAGCCTAATAAAAATGGGGCATTAGTAATAATTCGTAATTTAAGACGAGGTTAATATCTTTATAATTAATCACGATAATTGACCCGTTGACTGTGTTAGTAAATACGTAGATACGAGTCGGTCAGCATGATAGCGGGGCCGATGACCTCTTTCCGTGCATGTGTGTTCATTATGCATTACAGGGCCACTGTTTGTTGGAAAAATTATACACCTTATACTAAAATCCTAAAATACTGGGTATTTTTAATACGCTTTTATTAGCTTCAGACGTATGTATGTATGTATGTTAGTAACGGAATCTTTGAACATGATTTTGACCCCCTTCAACACGTCGGATTAACTCGAAATTTGTTATACTTATTAAGGACCGATGACAATTAAAATTAAAATAAAAAAATTGAAATTCAACTAAAAAATTAAAAACAAATAATAGTTTAAAAAAACTAACAAAATACGCTTTTATAGAAAATCCAACAAAAAAATAGAAAATAAATTTTATTAAATTTGAATTAAAAATAGTGTAAGAAAAAATGATTTTATTGTAAAAAAGCGTGGGGTGCATGGTATCAGTAGTTATAAATATTTTATGAACAGATATGATTAGAAGGGTTATTTTGATAATATCCTGAAGAACACCTAACGGTTTTTTAGAATAAAATAATTTTTTCTTTCACTATTTTTAATTACTTTAGGTAGTTATTAATGCGAAACTATAATAAAAAATATAAGATAATAAAGACGACAACGCAGCAATAAAACGTGAGTTACCTATATAGCTTTTATTCACAAATATGTTAATATATTTAATGACGTTAGGTGATCGGAAACACCCCGGAAAGGATTTTCTTCATATATAAATATTATGAGTCCGCACGGGTAGGTACCACCTCCCTGTTTATTTCTTCCGTGAAGCAGTAATGCGTTTCGGTTCGAAGGGCGGGGCAGCCGTTGTAGTGTAGAAACTGACACCTTAGAACTCATGTCTCGAGGTAGGAGGCGGCATTTACGTCGTAGCTGTCAATGGTATCCGGTAACCAACTAACACCAGGTGAGCCTTATGCTCAACCACCGATCTCAGCATGTAAGCAAAACAAAACAATAATTGAAGTACTTACAGTGAAATATTTTGCGTGTCTGACAAAATAATGTCTAAAAATATAATACTATTACCTGTTTTGCAAATAACGCTAGGTTTAATGTGTAGCCTAACTGCAGTATAGGTAAACGGTCTTTGTCTATTTTGATCTAGAAAATGACTGGAAATTACTAGAAAATGATCTAAAGAAAATGAAGCTGAATAAAGCCAGGGTTGCCCTAATACACAACGTTGGAATGAAATTGGCTACAAAATACCTAGGTATATATATGCATAGATATTTCACGAAAACAGTGATTTAATGATCATTTTAATTCAATTAATGTCAACTACTTTTTAGATTGATATGTTATTAACCTATTCTTTTTTTAACGTTTATCATAACTATTTTAATAAATGCTTTAACAAATCGAATTATTTATTCCGAATAAAATAAATAAAGAAGAACAAAAACAACCTGATGCTTGCATCTCATGTTTATAAATGCAGCACGCACTAAATTACTTGGTAACCTGCTTATTGTTTATTCATGAAACACAAATATTAATGGAAAAACATTTTGTCAAGTATGAGAAAATAGCGGTTTTAGTAGTCGTGACCTCAAAAAGATAGAAAATTAAAATACCAAGTATCGATCGATTGATGCCACTATGACTATGACATTCATGAACGTCTTACCCGCTATAGGAATGACATGTGAAAATAAAAAGTAAACTAAATTTAGTTGCACTCGTTCAGTTGCAACTAGCCTCCCCAACGCTATTTATAACACTCAACAATAAAAATGTAGTTTTAAAAAAAAATAGATTACGCGCTAGAAACGGCGCGTTTTTTTTTCTGACCGGGGGCCGATGCTCCTACGTGGTCCCCGCGCCTAGGGGGCGCGTGGGGTATGTGGGACTTTTTTTACTGCTAGGTGGTTGGACGAGCTCACAGCCCACCTGGTGCTAAGTGGTTACCCATAGGCATCTACGACGTAAATGCGCCACCCTCATTGAGGTATAAGTTCTAAGGTCTCAAGTATAGTTACAACGGCTGCCCCACCCTTTAAACCGAACGCATTACTGCTTCACGGCAGAAATAGGCAGGGCGGTGGTACCTACCCGCACGGACTCACAAGAGGTCCTACCACCAGTAAACTGGTCTGCGACTGCGAGACCGCGGGCCTAAGGATGTTTTTAGGGCCCTACCCACTAAACGACCCCCCTGCACTCTTCGCCCAAGCGTCCGATCCCCTCCGAGGTCAGAACCCGGATGAGGGGTTACCGCGGTCAACACTGCAACCAAACAGCGCAGCTCACCCCAAGGACGCCCGGCCGACGGAGCCTTCGAGGCGAATCGAAGGCACTGAAACATCGGCCGTCTCGGAGAGATGGCACGTCCCCTAACCTTTTTTTTTCAACCTTACTTAACCTAACAAACACGAGACGTAAATAATGCTTGACGGTCACATGCGCTGCTAATATTTTAATTCATTTTCTTCTCAAACTTTCAGAACTTTTGCGCTGATGTAAATGATACCTACTCCCTTTTTGTTGACATAGTGATTAAAGTGACTTGATCATTATAATACCAATATTCGTAATGATTGTCATTTCACATCATACACTTCTTTCCGATAAATTCGATTCATAGTTGCTAACGAGCATTAAAAGTAATGATTTCATAATAATATAGTATGAAACTAAATAGAATTATTATCTTTCACAAATATTTGAACCGAATGTGTCCAGTATTCATGTCACAAACGGTTTTCCTGTTTATTTTCTGGTGTGTACTATCATTGTTGACTGTTTATCGATAAGCTTTATAGAGTATTTGGAAAAATAAATATCCACTTGTTTTGATTGACATGTAGATTTGCAACATCTTGTCTTGATTTAGGTCATGTTGAGAAAAGTTCTTTGACCTTTTATTATCAGCATATAGCAGCTCGTTGAGAATAAAAATGTCTGTGTCCTCACTTATGACCTTCCAATGTTGTCAGTGTTATTAATTAGACATTATTATTTATTATTATTATGCTGTGGAAATATCTTATACCAGGTGACGTTTGAAGTACTATGTATTGGATAGCTAGTTTATAGCGTGTGCTTATGTTGCCGTGTTATTAATTATTTATTTATTAAAATCCAACAGTGAAGGACCTCAAACAATTAAATATATTATTATATATATTTTATTGAAGTGAAACTTCTTTAGGCGCATGAGGGTAAAATTATTACAGAACGTCACGCAGGTATGCAACGGAAGTGACATCAAACTACTTTTGAAATTAAGTACTTGTCAAATGTCAGTAGTAGTAGTTGTTGTATTTTTCCAACTGAAAAGGCAAATATATCATACCATACAGCCTAATATATATTTTTTTTTGTGAAAAATGTTAATAGGAATTGAATTGAAATGAAAATAATTTGGAACATTAATCAAATATCATGAAATTAAATTAGTCAATTCAATTGGCAAAATATTAGTCATTTACAATTTAGAAATCTAAACATAATGTGACTGTCAACACTGAGGTTTGAGATTGACATTTAACAGACTTTTGGCGGGAACATATCTTCCTTTTTCCCTTCCTCTAAGTCTCGGAAATCTAAAGTTTTAGATTTGTATAAATATAAGCAAGACTTATAAATTAGTTCGCCAAAAAAGTTTCACTTCTGACATGTGTACTTTGTACGCACGCACTCTTTTTAATTTATACTAGACGGTGTAATGTCATTAGCCATTTACTGGATCTGGATCTACTAGACTCACTATAGATTGATTGAGATGGGCACGTTCCTAAACATTGAACATGCCTAAGAAATTGTTTTTCTCAAAACTACAAACAAATATTTGAAAAAATATATATGAAAATATAAGCCTAAAACAGGATTTAACAAACTTAATTCGAATATAAGCATTTATTTATAGTAATAATATACAAAGTGTGAAATTAACTTCCCTAATGTAAAAACATATCATTAATATGACATCCAAGTAATGAGATATTATTTTTACAAACAAATCACGGAATAAATTTTCTTTCCAACTATAACAACTAGTAAACAAAACATTTAGTGTTATCATTTTTTTATTACACTACTGACCGCATCATTCATTCTGATGTTTTTTTATGCAATGCACTTAAAGAAACATATCCATGTTAATGCTATATAAATGTAACTCTTTTTATCTATACGGCCTGGCCTAAAACCCCGGTGGTGAAGCTTAGGAAGCTAGCTCAGCTGATCGAAAATAGTCAAACAGCTTCGACCTGTAATCTTTATTTTACTGAAAGAATAAAAAGAAGAATAAATAGA